TTGCTTTTATTATGTTGAGGTATGTTCCTGTTATCCCTGATTTCTCCAAGACCTTTATCATGAAGGGGTGTTGGATTTTGTCAAAGGCTTTTTCAGCATCTAGTGAGATGATCATGTGGTTTTTTTTTCCTCAGTCTGTTTATATGGTGGATTACATTGATGGATTTTCGTATGTTGAACCATCCTTGTATCCCTGGGGTAAAGCCTACTTGATCATGGTGGATGATTTCTCTGATGTGTTCTTGGATTTGATTTGCCAGTATTTTATTGAGAATTTTTGCATCAGTGTTCATGAGGGATATTGGTCTGTAGTTCTCTTTCTAAGTTGTGTCTTTGTGTGGCTTGGGTATCAAGGTTATTGAAGCCTCATAAAAAGAGTTTGACAATGACCCTTCTGCTTCTATTGTGTGGAATACTTTGAGGAGAATTGGTATTAGCTGTCCCTTGAATTTCTGTTAGAATTCTGTACTGAAGCCATCTGGCCCTGGGCTTTTTTTGGTTGGGAGACTTCTGATGACTGTTTCAATTTCATTAGGGGCTATAGGTTTTATTAAGTTGCTTATCTGTTCTTGATTTAATTTTGGTAATTGATATCTATCCAGAAAATTATCCATTTCCTTTCGATTTTCGAATTTTGAGGAATATAGGTTTTCGAAGTATGACCTGATGATTTTCTGCATTTAATCTGTGTCTGTTGTTATGTCCCTGTTTTCATTCCTAATTTTATTAATTTGCATGTTCACTCTCTGCTGTTTGGTAAGTTTGGATAAAGGTTTGTCTCTCTTGTTGATTTTCTGGAAGAATCAACTTTTTGTTATATTGATTCTTTGTATTGTTGTCCTAGTTTCTATTTTATTGATTTCAGTCCTCAATTTGATTATTTCCTGGCGTCTGCTCCTCCAGGATATATTGGCTTCTTTGTTTTCTAAAGCATTCAGTTGTACTGTTAATAATCTCTAGTGTGATTATTCTCCTGTTTCTTCATGTGGGCACTTAGCGCTATGAACTAACTTTCCTCTTAGCACTGCTTTCAAAGTGTCCTATAGGTTTGGGTATGTTGTGTCTGCATTCTCATTGAATTCTAGGAAATCTTATAATTTCTTTTTTTTATTTCTTCCTCGACCCAGGAATGGTGCAATTGGGTGTTACTTAATTTCCTTGAGTTTGTACCTTTTTCTGTAATTCGTATTGTTGTTAAATTCTAATTTTAAAGCATGGTGGTCTGATAAGATACAGGAGGTTATTTCAATTTTTTGTACATGGTGAAGATTTTTAAAAAGAAACTTTTAGTCCTGTGATTTATAGGTTTAAAAAAACCTTATTTTTCATATTTGTGTGTGTGAGTGCACATGTCTGCTACAGCACACATGTGAGAGTTATGAGGACAGCTTGTGGGAGTTGGTTCCCTCCTTCTACTGTGTGTGCTCTGGAGCTTGAGTTCAGGTTGCTAGTCTTGAACGGGAATAGCCCTTACTTGTTGAGCCATCTCCTTGGCCTGATTTCTTGGTTTTATAAATGAATTTCATTGGTATTCTAATACTGAATAATAGACCATGAGTCTCAGATATGCTATGAACTTGTTATTGAATGTGACCTATATTTTTATTTGGTCAAAGCTAGCTGAGCTGTGATGGAATTAATATTAAAAAGGCATGTTTCTCGTTAAGGACTGAGGCTAGCATTCCTGTGAAGCAATCTGTATTGTTGTGCAAAGCACCTCCATTCATCTTTATTGAGGGCAAGGTTCAAGGTTCATCCTGCTGCCCAGGAGCACTAAAAGTATTTCAACTCTGATGAATCTGCCTGCACATTCCCCACAAAAACTACCGCCCCCCCCCAGCATGGTAGAATAAGTTAACTGTAGTAGGTCATGGTCATTTTTGTTGGCATTTTGTCTTTTCCTGACTTCAAGCACATTTAACAGGATAACATTTTGAAATGTTTATCCAGGAAGTTACTTGCTGCTACAGATCACCAGAGCGGTTTCATATTGGTGGTGGTGCAGTATACCTCACAGTTACATGTCTGGCTGTGCCACATTGCAATCTGTGGGAGTGATTCAGTGCTGTGATGTTTGGGACCTGGGAACCCCTGTTGATGGGAATGTTTAGTACATTCTATTCTCACTTTGGTAGAAAGGGGGCTCACAAGCAATAGAGAGGCCTGGAGCTTAGGAGTTTGGGTGCTCTGTGGCCTGTTAAATGCTGTTTTTATTAGGAAGCCGGGCCTCTAGCATGTACCTTCTATGAAGGGTTGAGAATACAGGTTTTAAGACCTCTTTTGATGGTCCTGATGGACAGTGACATGATTACTGGGTTTCTTGACCTAGGTCAAATACTTTTGGTCTCTGTGGGTCATGGTTATACTGTGGGAGAATGTATCACTGTGTGACTATGCAGTATATTAGAGACCAATCAGGCTGTCATACTGTACCATAGGTACTGGCTACAAATTTTGTACATTTGAATTGTCCTACAAGGAGAGATCATCCCGTGTTTCTTCCTTGGTCTATTTTGGAGGTCCCAAAATTCAATACACATTTGTTTTAAAAATACAGGAGAAAGCCCAAGAGATCTTAACCCTACCCGAAGAAGTACAGGCAGCTCAGGAATGCTGACAGTAGGAGAAATAGTCCTCCCCAGGAAGGAGCACACTGATTGTTTATCCAGTACCAAGGGGTCAGCCTTGAAGACATACAACGAGTAACATTATTCAGACTGAACACGTTATATTTATGTATTGAGGAATATATATGTATCTGCTATGTAGTGAACAACTCATATTGATGTATTGAGGAATATATATATATTCCTCAAGGAACATATATATATATATGTTATATAGTGAACAGCTCACATTCATGTTGAGGTATATATATTTATCTGCTATGTAGCTACAATTAATTTTTAAAAGGCTGTAAATCTGAAAGAGAGCAAGGAGATAGGGAAGTAGGTAAGAGGGAAATGATGTAATTATAACTTTCAAAATCAAAAGAAGAAATAACTTTAAAAAATAGACATACATGATTATAGAAGTAAAATTCATAAAAATGAGAACCAAACAACTATGCAAGTAAGCAGAAGCCCCATGTGAGTCTCACTTGTGAGCACTGCCATATTGGAAACTTATGTCTCCAGCACACGATGTGGGGTATCCATACGTGACACCACACCACAAAAACTGTCTGCCTTGGACCAAGAGTCACCAGATTGCAAGATTGCTTTTAAAGGAGTGGGGTTCTTTCTGAGACATCAGTCACTGTGTAATGCAGGATAGCTTTGAACTCTCAGCAGTTTTCCTGCACTAGCCTCCTGGATGCTGAGATTACAGGTGTGCACTATCTTTCTGGCTTTTTTTTATTTTTTATTTTATTTTTGCTTATATATATGTATATATTTATATTTATATAAAAAGAGCAATAATGGCAATATGTTATGCATCAATAGCAGCAACAGCTTTTCCAGGTTCTGTAGTCCTTTGAATAAAATTGTGGAGACATCCAGCACACTCCATTTTTAAAAAAACAAAAAACAAACAAAAACAAGAAAACAAATAACAACAACAAAAAAGTAAAAAACAAAGTCCCAGAAGTCAGCACAGTTCTGTTACTCTTGTGGTACTTGGCACCATTTTTTTTTTTTTTTTTTTAAATTAGCTTTTCAGTAT